TGTCGAGAGTTTCCTTGAACACCACACAACACTAAAATAACATGGGACTACATTTCACAGCCATGGTAAACACAACTGAAGGTAATTAACAAATATTTACTCGAACGTAGAAATAATGTATGTTCTGAATAAGTACAATCAACGCTTTTATGACATTTGATGACATTGCATGACACTGGATGACATTTTACCAGTTATTTCTTCTGTTGGGTGAAATTGTCAAGCAGATGGCATGAAATGTGTAATTTAAATTACAGAATAAGTTCAACTAAATAGAAGGAAAGCATTTAATCTCTAAACCATTTTCTTGTAAAACAAGAATCGTTGTTCGCTATACAACAAGCTATTTATTGCCATGTTACATTTAAAATGTAACAAAGTGTAACATCATAATAATTAATAAATAAATGAGAATCCTAAATATTACTTATAATAATGACCTTACTGGTGAGACATTATGAAAACAATTCTAAAAAGTAACATTTTAGGCGTAAGTGATAAATTAGAATATAAAAAGTTACACCAATCTCTGTCTTCAAATTATATACAAATGATGTTGTCTTCTTTGGTGTTGTCATAATTGGTGTTGTCTTGTTTGGTGTTGTCTTGCTTGGTGTTGCTGGTTTTTCGTCTTGAATGTTGTCTTGTTATGTTATTGTCTTGTTTGTTATTGTATCCTTTGTTTGTGTTTAGTTGGTTGATGTTTTGTTTGATGTTGTGTTGCTGGTTGTCATCTGTCTTTGCATTGTTGGTTTTGTCTTGTTTGATGTTGTGTTGCTGGTTGTCATCTGTCTTTGCATTGTTGGTTTCTGTCTTGTTTGATGTTGTGTTGCTGGTTTTCATCTGTCTTTGCATTGTTGGTTGATGTCTTGTTTGATGTTGTGTTGCTGGTTGTCATCTGTCTTTGCGTTGATGGTTTCTGTCTTGTTTGATTTTGTGTTGCTGGTTGTTATCTGTCTTTGCATTGTTGGTTGATGTCTTGTTTTATGTTGTGTTGCTGGGTTTCATCTGTCTTTGCATTGTTGGTGTCTGTCTTGTTTGATGTTGTGTTGCTGGTTGTCATCTGTCTTTGCATTGTTGGTTGATGTCTTTTTTGATGTTGTGTTGCTGGTTGTTATCTGTCTTTGCATTGTTGGTTGATGTCTTGTTTAATGTTGTGTTGCTGGGTTTCATCTGTCTTTGCATTGTTGGTGTCTGTCTTGTTTGATGTTGTGTTGCTGGTTGTCAGCTGTCTTTGCATTGTTGGTTGATGTCTTGTTTGATGTTGTGTTGCTGGTTGCCATCTGTCTTTGCATTGTTGGTTTTGTCTTGTTTGATGTTGTGTTGCTGGTTGTCATCTGTCTTTGCATTGTTGGTTTTGTCTTGTTTGATGTTGTGTTGCTGGTTGCCATCTGTCTTTGCACTGTTGGTTTTGTCTTGTTTGTTATTGTATCTTTTGTTTGTGTTTAGTTGGTTGATGTCTTGTTTGATGTTGTGTTGCTGGTTGTCATCTGTCTTTTCATTGTTGGTTTCAGTCTTGTTTGATGTTGTGTTGCTGGTTGTCATCTGTCTTTGCATTGTTGATTTTGTCTTGTTTGATGTTGTGTTGCTGGTTGTCATCTGTCTTTGCATTGTTGGTTGATGTTTTGTTTGATGTTGTGTTGCTGGTTGTTATCTGTCTTTGCATTGTTGGTTTTGTCTTGTTTGATGTTGTGTTGCTGGTTGCCATCTGTCTTTGCATTGTTGGTTTTGTCTTGTTTGATGTTGTCTTGCTGGTTGTCATCTGTCTTTGCATTGTTGGTTTCTGTCTTGTTTGATGTTGTGTATCTGGTTGCCATCTGTCTTTGCATTGTTGGTTTTGTCTTGTTTGATGTTGTGTTGCTGTTTGTCATCTGTCTTTGCATTGTTGGTTTTTGTCTTGTTTGATGTTGTGTTGCTGGTTGTCATCTGTCTTTGCATTGTTGGTTTCTGTCTTGTTTGTAGTTGCTTATTAAGAAAAACAATCTTTTAAAAAAGCGGAGTTGTATGACTGAAAAGGTTTGAGAAGCACTCATTGACTTACACTGTGTTGAATATCTCAACATGACCGGGGGGGGGGAGGGGGGGACAAAATTTACACAGAATGGTTCTCATCACGCACATGGTACATAAAGAAATATTCACATACGAGAACTATGGTCGTGAATATTTCAGTGGAGTCCCCGAGGGAGATTTGGAGCGGGTGAATAATTCAATGATAGACTCCGGCACACCATGAGAAACACATTTCTTGTCAGATTATCGACCTTTAGCAAGGCAGCCGGCGATTATGTACCCTTGATACGGCATGTGGGAATAATGTGGCCGTGGTGCACAAAGGAATAATGTGGCCGTGGTGCACAAAATGGTAGCGGAGCTCCCTGATCGATGTCATCAATTGTGGGTATGTTTGATATTCTGAGGTGTAGAGAAGTAGCAGAAGTCTAGACTCCAGGGATGTCTTTGTCATACATGTTAGCCAATGTTAACATTTCTGTCACGCTAAAAGTAAAAAAAAATAAAATGTGTTTGATCTTGACTTATACAAGAAGAGGCATAATGAATTGTTTATGCTTTGGAAAGTCAAACAATATTTAATTTATTCATTCAACAAAATGTTGTACACAAGTTGTTTGATTCATCTCATGTTTTGACAAGTAAAGACCAATTCTAGAGTCTAGGTCAAGTAAAGACCAATATCTGGAGTCTAGGTCAAGTAAAGATACTGTCTGGAGTCAAGGTCAAGTTAAGGGTAATGTCTAGAGCTTAGGTCAAGTAAAGGGTAATGTCTGGAGTCTTGGTCGAGTAAAGAGTACTGTTCGGAGTCAAGGTAAAGTGAAGACCAATACCTTGAGTCTAGGTCAAGTAAAGGGTAATTCTGGAGTCTAGGTCAAGTAAAGGGTACTGTCACGAGCATTGGTCAAGTAAACGGTAATGTCAAGAGTCTAGGTCAAGTAAAGGGTACTGTCAAGAGTCTAGGTCAAGTAAAGGGTACTGTTTGGAGTATAGGTCAAGTAAAAGATACTGTCTGGTGTCTAGGTCAAGTAAAGATCAATACCTGGAGTGTAGGTCAAGTAAAGATCAATATTTGGAGTCTAGGTCAACTAAAGGCCAATGTCTGGAGTCTGGGTCAAGTACTGTCTTATTTTTGGAGTCTAGGGCAAGTGATTTAGACGGTTAAAATAAAATATGAAAAGAGAAAATGGATTTTCCAAGCTTTTATGTATATTTAGACCACTAATAAAATATCAGAGAGTTTCAATTTATACAATTGATGCATTCAATCATGTTGTACAATTTATGCATTCAATCATGCTGTACAATTTATACATTTAATCATACTGTACAATTTATACATTCAATCATGTTGTACATTTTATGCATTCAATCATGTTGTACAATTTATGCATTCAATCATGGTGTATAGTTTGCGCCCAGGGCATGCAATGTAAGCCAAAACGTGTTGAGGACCGCTGATGGCATGGTGCAACTAAAATACACGCACGACACGAACTTATAGTAAACGTTATCAAGAGCAAGGTCATAAGCAGTGTCTAGTTCATATTGGTGTCCATGAGAGAGTGGTGTTATCTGATTGTAGGGGGCTAGAAAGTCAATGTCATTATTATTGAAACAGTGTCTAGGTCATGTTGGTGTCCATGAGAGTGTTATCTGATTGTAGGGGGCTAGAAAGTCAATGTCATTATTATTGAAACAGTGTCTAGGTCATGTTGGTGTCCATGAGAGAGTGGTGTTATCTGATTGTAGGGGGCTAGGAAGTCAATGTCATTATTATTGAAACAGTGTCTAGTTCATGTTGGTGTCCATGAGAGTGTTATCTGATTGTAGGGGGCTAGAAAGTCAATGTCATTATTATTGAAACAGTGTCTAGTTCATGTTGGTGTCCATGAGAGAGTGGTGTTATCTGATTGTAGGGGGCTAGAAAGTCAATGTCATTATTATTGAAACAGTGTCTAGGTCATGTTGGTGTCCATGAGAGAGTGGTGTTATCTGATTGTAGGGGGCTAGAACGTCAATGTCATTATTATTGAAACAGTGTCTAGGTCATGTTGGTGTCCATGAGAGAGTGTTGTTATCTGATTGTAGGGGGCTAGAAAGTCAATGTCATTATTATTGAAACAGTGTCTAGGTCATGTTGGTGTCCCTGAGAGAGTGGTGTTATCTGATTTAGAGGGCTAGAAAGTCAATGTCATTTTTAATGAAACAGTGTCTAGGTCATGTTGGTGTCCTGGCAATTCGAAACCTCTCACTCATTAGATCAAGCGCACTGTAGGGAGGCTAGGAGGCAAATTGAAATAACAGTTCTCATGATTTCTACTATAATTGAATCACTTACTCCATCTGTTTGGCTAACTAGAAAACAGCTTATTTTTATGTGCATCGAAATGAACTATGAGACTTTGCTGTGTATTCAATGCAATCATGTACAGTGTACACAAATAAGATGGTGACATTCAATGCAATCATGTACAGTGTACACAAGTAAGATGGTGACATTCAATGCAATCGTGTACAGTGTACACAAATAAGATGGTGACATTCAATGCAATCATGTACAGTGTACACAAATAAGATGGTGACATTCAATGCAATCATGTACAGTGTACACAAATAAGATGGTGACATTCAATGCAATCATGTACATTGTACACAAATAAGATGGTGACATTCAATGCAATCAAGTACAGTGTACACAAATAAGATGGTGACATTCAATGCAAACATGTACAGTGTACACAAATAAGATGGTGACATTCAATGCAAACATGTACAGTGTACGCATCTGTGATGATGACATTTAATGCAATCGTGTAGAGTGTACACAAATGTTATGATGATAATTAAATCACTGTTAAAATAATTGCAAAATGACTGACGAACGAAAATTCTAGCAATCCATAGAAATTTAAAAGTTGTTCATCAAAATATCAATTAATTAATAAGTTAAAACAGAAAAATCTATTGATTAAAAGTATAAAATTCGATCTTTGTATTTTCGATGTAAGTTTTTCAAACATAAAAGTAGATAACAACGAACCACGTCTGATGTCTTTGACATCCGAAAATCAGCTGACAAGAGAACTACACTCATAATGACAAAATTGCAGCTCTCATAGAGACACATTACTCAATCATGCCAGAAACAATTCCATCAGCAATATTCAATCAATCTGAAACTTAGCAGACAATCACTCAATGCTACATATAGCAGATAATAACACAATCCTACACATTTCAGATAAGCACACAATCCTACACGCAGCAGATAATCACAAAATCCTACACGTAGCAGATAATCACATAATCCTACACGTAGCAGATAATCAAACAATCCTACACATTTCATATAAGCACACAATCCTACACCTAGCAGATAATCACAAAATCCTACACGTAGCAGATAAACACATAATCCTACACGCATCAGATAATCACACAATCCTACACGTAGGAGATAATCACAAAATCCTACACGTAGCAGATAATCATACAATCCTACACGTAGCAGATAATCACACAATCCTACACGTAGCAGATAATCACACATTCCTACACGTAGTAGATAATCACAAAATCCTACACGTAGCAGATAATCATACAATCCTACACGTAGCAAATAATACGCAATCCTACACGTAGCAGATAATCACACAATCCTAAACGTAGTAGATAATCACACAATCCTACACATAGCAGATAATCTCTCTATTCTACACATTTCAGATAATCACTCAATCCTGAACATATATAGCAGCTAACCACACAGTCCTACACGTAACAAATAATCACACAATCCTACATGTAAAGAGAACGACACAATCGTACACGTACAGATAATCACACAATTCTACATGTAGCAGATAATCACACAATCCTACACGTTGTACATATCCCACAATCCTTCACGTAGTAGATAATCACACAATCCTACACGTAGCAGATATTCTCTCTATTCTACACATAGCAGATAATAACACAGTATTACATATAACAGATAACTCTCAATCCTGCAAATATATAGCAGATAATCACACAATCCTACATATTTCAGATAACCACACAATCCTATACGTAGAAGATAATCACACAATCCTACGCGTACCAAATAATCACACAATCCTACACGTAGTAGATAATCATAAAATCCTACATATTTCAGATAATCACACAATCCTACACGTAGCAGATAATCACACAATCCTACACGTAGAAGATAATCTCACAATCCTACACAGTTTAAATGACAATAGTTTCAGTTTATTAATGTCATGTCATGGCATAGTTCACTGCATATTCCAACAGAAAGAGACCCGAGTGAGATGGCAACAAAATGTCACGTGACGCATCACGTGACTCGCTGTAAGTCAGACGCTTCAGGTACAGTTATAATTTGTGCCCGTGGCTTCAGTTCGATCACTTCATGAATGTGTCACGCTCCACTTCTGCAGTTCGATAACGTTATGTCTGTGTCACGCTCCACTGCCAAGGGTGGATCACATCATGTCGGTGTCACGTTCCACTGCCAAGGGTGGTTAACATCATGTCGGTGTCATGCTCCACTGCCAAGGGTGGATCACATCATGTCGGTGTCACGTTCCACTGCCAAGGGTGGATCACATCATGTCAGTGTCAAGCTCCACTGCCAAGGGTAGATCACATCATGTCGGTGTCACGCTCCACTGCCACATGTTCAGCCTGTGTCACGCCTCATCAGATCGTGTGATGTTTTCTTTTCTTGTCGCGTAGCTCATCTGAGGAAGTTTCTGGGCTAAGGTGGACTGTCGAACTGAAATGAAGATGAAAAACCAGATAGATTTTAAAATAAGACGTATTTTTCCGTGTCTGTGGACCAAATATACTATAAAATAACGATGGTCCCAAAATAATCTAAAATATCGGTGGTGCCTATACACTATAAACTAATGGTGGTCCCAACAGTTTAAGTTAGCTCAGGGGACGTTAATATATTGTTTTAAATTATGAGACAGTATAAAACAAGCTCTGAGAACCATTGTTATAACCTGTTAGACAAATGCTCAAAAAGATACAAATATTATTCTGCAAAAAAAAAAGTCATAGAGTAAAAATAGAACAGAACAAGTGCAACACAAGTCAGCCTTTAGTTTTAAAATAGACACGTCCATGTTTTAAATCAGACACATCTAAGTTTTAAATCAGACACATCTAAGTTTTAAATCAGACACATCTAAGTTTTAAATCAGACACATCTAAGTTTTCAATTAGACACATCTAAGTTTTAAATCAGACACATCTAAGTTTAAAACCAGACACATCTAAGTTTTAAATCAGACACATCTAAGTTTAAAACCAGACACATCTAAGTTTTACATCAGATACATCTAAGTTTTAAAACAGACACATCTAAGTTTTAAAACAGACACATCTACGTTTTACATCAGACACATCTAAGTATTAAAACAGACACATCAAAGTTTTAAATTACACACATCTAAATTTTAAAATAGATGCATCCAACTTTTTATTATGCAACATGGATTTAGGAAAGTACAACAACAAAAAAAAACCCAACAAGGCAGACACTATTAGCAACAGTTTCAGAACCTCTCATGCTGTTCCAAGCCAATGAAATAACTGGTCGTTTGCTAAAAAATCAGAAGCGAGACGTAAAGAAATTGTTCCCTGAGAGAACCCAATGTCAGTTTCACTCTGTTAAAAACTGGATAAACACCTGGCCGCTTACCTGCAGACCCCCATAGCTGTCCGGATACCAGTAGACCCACCTAGCCGGGTACTGTGCGGATACCCGTAGACCCTTTTAGCCGAGTACTGTCCCGATAGCCGTAGACCCACTTAATTAGACAGGCAATTCAGGCTCATACCAGCAAAAAGCCAGTATAGGAGCAGCTCATTCCCGCCCAAGACAATAAGGGACTGGAACTATCTTTCAAAAGGAACGGTTGAGGCGACAACACTAGACACATTTGTGTCTATTGCCTCAAGCCTTCAAACCCCTAGTGCATAATTTCCTCATCACCACCAGTAACAGAAACATTGCAAATCCCATCTACAAACCCCTAGTGCATAATTTCCTCATCACCACCAGTAACAGAAACATTGCAAATCCCATCTACATGCATAGGAGCCAAAATGATCAATAAATTGATCGTGGGCCCTTAAGATATAGAAGAAGAAGATATGAGCCAAAATGATCAATAAATTGATCGTGGGCCCTTAAAATATAGAAGAAGAATCGGGTACTGTCCGGACACCCGTAGACCAACCTAGCCGGGTGCCTGACTAAGCAAAAAAGTTCATGAATGAACGGCCATTGTTCCCGACAGGTAATATTATGTACCGATTTAACGGTAATTGATTTTATTCAATAAATTATACATAGATCTGCTCGATTATTTCATCATCTAAGCTTGCTGGTCTACAAAACTCGGCATTTGGCATTTGGCGTGGAGACTATGAGCTTGGAAATACATTTTGAACTTTCAACTATGGTAACTTTTAACGAAAGGAAATAGATTCACTTGAAGATTGGTTGAGAGTCAGGCATTGAATTTAGTAGATAGACATTTGAAGGTGGAATAGAGTACGACATTTGAAGGTGGAATAGAGTCAGACATTTGAAGGTGGAATAGAGTCAGACATTTGAAGGGAGTAGAGATTCAGACATTTTTGAAGGTAGTAGAGAGTCCGACATTTGAAGGTGGAATAGAGTCAGACATTTGAAGGGAGTAGAGATTCAGACATTTTTGAATGTAGTAGAGAGTCCGACATTTGCAGGTGGAATAGAGTCAGACATTTGAAGATGGAATGGAGTCAGACATTTGAAGGGAGTAGAGAGTGCGACATTTGAAGGTGGAATAGATTCAGACATTTGAAGGTACTAAATGTCAAGAAACAAAATTGTAATGAGAAATATTTATTTCTATAAAAATAATTTTAAAAATAATTTCTTAAAATACATCCCCGGTTACCCGCCTCCAGTTTCCCTCCCCCAACCCTGGTACCCGCCCCCCACCCAGGGTACCTGTTAACAGCCCTTGACTGGGCCCACCATTGCTCAAGACAAATCAAATTAAATATAATCCTTTTGTCAACCAATGACAAAGGATGCGAGACTCTTGACATAGCATGGGGTGTGGTGGAGTGGGAGGGGGGGTGTTAGGGTGAAGAAGGCAGTGGGGGGGGGG